TTAATCTTTAATCAAGATAATATAATTATCTTAAATTAAAATGAATAAATATGATTAATTTATTTTAATTAAAATTAATTAATATTACTAATCATGAATCAAGTCAATTATCTTAATTAATTAATTCCTTTTATTTATATTATGTATTTTTTAAAATCAGATTTGATTGACCCGAACAAAGAAACACGACCCGAACGTCAAATAACCAAAAAAGAAAATCAAACATGCCAACAACTTAGCAAAATTAGGGTTCATCATGAACAAACTTATCAGGCGAATAAACAGGCAAAGATATGATTTTTCATTCATTTCTCCAGGAATACATATAACCTTAAACATAAAAAAAAATAGAGAAATCAACCAAAAGGCAACACATTCACGGCGGAATTTTCTGGGAAAAATGGATCCAGATCTGATGGGAAAAAATGGATCCAGATCTGATGGGAGGGATCCCACCCACGAGACCAGGCTCCCATCGTCCCCTTCACCACCGTTCCCAGAAAACTCCTCTGTTCAAAGAAATTACCTACAAAAGCTGAGCCTAAATCTTCACCCAAATCACCGGCTCCGCAAAATTCCTCTCCTTTTCTGCCGCCGTTCTCAACACCCAGACTCCAAGAACAAAAGACCCCCACTTTTCTAACCTAAAGTCCTCTATTTATACTCAAACCAAAACCAACCCTTAAAACCCTAAAAATCCCAACCAGGAACGTTCCAGAAATCACTCTCCGGGCTTTTCTGTGTCCACGGTTTTGGGCTCCTCCAATCACCAGAATTTTGCAATGCATTTGGGCCTCTCTGGTCTTTACCTTTTTTACAAACTCTGCGAAATGCATTTGGGCCTTAAATCCACGCCCAATTCATCCGGTCGTCACCCACTCGTGCATAGATTTCCTCTGCAAATCTATTCCAGTTGCAGGGAGATCGGGATTTTGCCAACTCGTCGAAGCTCCGCGTGCACACCACCGCCATCGCTGGTTGGTAGATCTGGCTTTCCTCTCTCTGGTTCCGATGCACACTCGCCAGCTGGGTCATGGTGGCTCGTGGGGATGGTCTTTTGCACGGCTGTCGGCAACCCAAGCTTCCAGATAGCGGGAAAGGGATGGCCGGGATCTGTGCAAGGAAGAAAAGAAAACCGAGGGAAGGGAGAAGATGGGTCGGTGAGGAAAATGTTTTGGGGCATGCAAAGCTTCATCGTCGGTGGATGGAAGTGCGGCTGTCGGCAACCCAAGCTTCCAGATAGCGGGAAAGGGATGGCCGGGATCTGTGCAAGGAAGAAAGGGAAAACCGAAGGAAGAAAGAAGCCGAGGGTTTCATGGGAGTGGAGGAATCTTGGGTATGGAGGGAAAGCTCGGTTGGAGAAGGAGAAGGAGAAGGGAGACGGTAGAAGGAGGAGGTGGTTGCCGGCTGTGGTGATGATGAAATCGGTAAGATGATGGTGGTGATGGTGATCGGAGAAAGAGGATGAAGATGGCTGCTGGTTGCTAGCAGAAGGATGGGGAGGGTTCGGGAGAAAGAGAGAGAAGGCCGAGACTGAGGGTTGACCGAAAAATGGGGGAAGGTTTGGGAGAGAAAGAATTTTAATTCTTCCTTTGTTTTTTTGTTTTTTTGTTTTGGGAAGATTGGGTCTTTGGGTTTGATTTTGGGTTGTGGGTTTTGGGTTTTGAAATATTGTGGATTTTTGGATTTTGGGTTTTGAGAAATTTGGTGGG